GCCTCAGAAACGACATTCGCCTCCCCCCTCCCCCCCAAAAAAAGGCACCATATAAACCCTATATGAACACGATCCACCCCCACAGAATCCCTTTAAGCCCTGGGATCCTTATCGGAAACTTACGTATGCCCACGTATGCCCTAGACCTAACCGCATGAGCTCAGAGTCCACAATAGATAAAACAATCACACTATATATATATATATATATCTATATATTATATATATATATGTATACATGTATGCATAGACGTACATACATACATACATGCATCCATGCATCCATGCATCCACATACATGTATATATATATATATATATACACATACACATACACGTATACTCATACATACACATATATATACGCAATAAGCCAAATAGGCAAGCCGTGTCTACAGAAAAAAAAATATGGGAAAACAAGTAAATACAAAACAAAAGATATGCATACATATATATACATATATATATACACACATATACATATACATATACATACACACATATACATATACATATACATGTACATATACATATACATATACATATACATATACATATACATATACATATACATATACATATACGTATACGTATACGTATACATATACATATACCTATACATATACATATACATATACATATATATATATATATATACACACAGCCAAACCCCAAGCATGTCCTCTGAATCAGTCTGAATTCTTCTGAATTGTTCGCTGACCTTTGTGTATGCCACAAGGCCAGTGAGGTCTCCTCCCTGCAGAGTGGCTGGAGGCTCCGAGTCGGTGCGGCGACGGCTGTGACGACCTTTTTCTCACTGCCCTTTGCGCTCTGTTGAGGGTTTAGGGTTTAGGGTTTAGGGTTTAGGGTTTAGGGTTCCGGGCCTCGTTTGTCGGTGCAGCCCTTGCAGGCAAGACTACTGGACAGAGCCCAGTCCACTTTTTACGAAAGGCCTTCTATGCCAGGACTGCCCCCAGGGGTGGAGGAGTTCGGCTTTACGGCTTTGGGACGAGCAACCAATGTACCACTGCTGTAACGTTGGTAGCTTTGTAGCACCGGAGATGGACCGTGGAAGTTCCAGGATGTCAGATACGCAACGGAATCCTCACACTGCAAGTGTGCCCCGCCCTCGGATCTTCCTTAGAACCTCCTATTGGTCCCACTGCCTGGCAGTGTTGAGACTGGTATCTTCTTCTCTTTCAAGCAAAGCATTGCAGCCTGCTGAGTCCCGCCACCCTCCGCCTTTCTTTGTTTGGATGCCTTGGATGCCAAGGTGGTAAAGGAGGCAGCTCTGCCACCCTCTGGAAACAGGCAGAACGCACAGGCTAGGGCACAGGGCGCAGGGGCCCAGGGGCAGGGGCGCAGGGCGCAGCGTGAGCGTAGCATCGCCAGGGATTATGCCAGCGGAGTGCGTCTACGAGTTCCCGACGTGTTCTCTCCTGTGCCCAAGGGGCTTCCCCAGCGCAGGAGTTGCAGCAGCAACAGCGCCTCCGATGGCTAGACTCGCTGATCAAGAAGGAAGAGGAGGAACGCAGAAACATGCAAGATGATGCGACAGGAATCTGGCACATCCGACATGACATTCTGGGGGCGCAGAGGGGCGGGTAAGTGGCGGGTAGCTTGAGCAGTGAGTCTCAGCTGCAGGGGCTCCCCTTCCAGCGCCACTCGATGTCCAAGGCCGAAGCTTCCAACGTGTTGCTTCCAAATTCTGAGCCTTCGACGCCAAAAGGAGCCTTCGAAGCTTGTGGTTCCTTCAGCCTTCACCCATCTTTGCCTGTCAGGTCAACGCTCGTATCTATCCGGAGAAGTTGCTGAACCAGCACCCCTGGTCACACAAGTGGCTTCCGGCCGCTTGGCTGATGCGGATGATGTTATTGACATGTCTTCCAGCTTGAGTCGACCGTCATGAAGGTCGAGCCACTTCCGTGTAGCCCAAAATTCTGCTACACTGCTAGCACCAATGCCAGGGCCGAGATTGCTCTCAGCCGCAACCTCTTCTGAAGGCGCGGCGCCTCGGGTTTCCAGTGGGACTCAAGAAGAACGAAGACGTGTGTGTGTGTGTGTGTGTGTGTGTGTGTGTGTGTGTGTGTGTGTGTGTGTGTGTGTGTGTGTGTGTGTGTGTGTGTGTGTGTGTTGCAGAGTGTCTTTGATGAATAGCCGTTCGTTGTGTGGGCCCACTGTGGGCATTCAGTTTGAACTAGCAGCCCAGAAGCATGAAACGTGTGCAAGAGCTAAACGAAGCAAGTGAACGTAAACATGCCTTAGCCACAATGTGGCCTCGGTGAGAGTTCGCAGTCTGGGAGGCCAAGGAACGTGTGAGCCGTATGTGATGGTAGATGCGTTGTGCGCAGCAGCCAAGTGTGCAGAACATGATCGCGCAGTGAGATCACCGCATGTGAACGTAAACAAATGAACTCACATTGTAGTTTGCAACTTAAATACATGGGGTATTCGGGGGCCACTCGTGAAACGAATCGCGCCCTGGCGTCTCACGCAGCTGGAAAAGCGCTGTGCAAGGGGCTTTCGGAGTTCGCCCTTAAGCATACAACTCTGACCATCACACCGACAGCAGAATTGCAAAACACAACATCAAGATGTAGCAAGCAGGCCCTGCTTCAAGGTTGCTCGCGTGGTGGCTCGACAGCTAAAACTCACAGCTTGCAAGCCTGACAAGGACTACAGTCGTTGCGTGTACACCTAACTGCACCACTACGCAGTAGTAAGTCTAGCTTCAGACCGTGGCCTCCAGACCATAGCCAGCATCGACGATTGAAACCTTGTGTCTGAGACCCCCAGGTATACGGCCCCAAAGATCCTCGAACTCCAAACTTTAGATGGACTTCATCACCTAGAAGCTGCGTGAAATGGACGCTCGAGATGGCGGTGCTAGCAAGGCCCATGGCTTGGAAGTGCTATGGCGTATTGCCATGTCCGGAGCAAGCCAGATATGAGAAGCAGTGGATGCCAGACGGCCAGACGTTAGCAATGTCTTGAGATGGGGGTTTCCGAAATTAGGGGATACCTCATTCGGTTCCTTATTATATTCCCTACTATTGGGGGGTCTATTTTCGGGGGTCCCCTATTGTCGCAAGCTCCCATATCTCAGGATGATGTGACAGGCACACTGTTCGAGCATAGCATTCGGCTTGTGGTGTTCGCTCACCCGTGCCAACTTTCCCTCGGCCCCCTTCCTTTCCAGTCGGCGCACCTGATTTTGTTTTCAATGACCCTTTAAGCAGGTCTGTTCGGAACATTCCATTACCCTCTTGTTTGTCAGTAACAGCTAGCCAAGCCTTGAGCCCCAAATCTGCACTCCCAGGCTTTTGGGATTCGTCTGTGTCCTGCAGCTCTTCCAGGCCTGCGGGAGCAATTGCCAGACTGCCGACAGCCCATAGTCCACAGTACATGAACGAAACATGCCAGCAGATCCCCACAGAAGCCTGCCTTCCTTTCAGGCCACTGCAAACAGCGATCCCTGTGCCAGCACTGAATGGGAGCAGGCCGTCCGTGGTTTGAGGTTGTGGTAGCTGCTTAGCTTCGACGACGGCATCGACATAAAAAGCACAGAAGCAGTTTGCTGGAGCAGGGTTGAACCGTCAACTTAAAAGGCACTGCCACGCAGCCTCACCGGGCTCTTTCTTGGGACTCAAGATGCCTTCTGCCTATCGACTGAGCCGGCCAGAACCTTGACAGGTTCGGCAGCTGTTGTGGGTTGCGGTCTCAGATGCTGTCGTAGAAGGCAGGTCTTGTAGTGGGCCGATTGCCCCCCGTAACTGCTGTGAGTTAACATGAGTTAACCGTAGTACTGGCCAGCAATGACCCTCCCCCCGCCCCATGCAAACCAGCACAAATAGATGAGGTCGTGGTCGGCGATGGGCGAGAGGGGCAAAAGAGAATCCGGTCCCTCCAAGAGTCTGCGCCAGACGCTCGGGACTTGTTTGGATGCCTGGATGCGTGTGTTGATTCTCATGTCGCCAAGGCCGCCACCACCTTTGCGACCCTCATCCTGCGTGCATGGCGCCTTCGCATCCAACTTGTTGCAGCTTGCTCTGGCCGACTCTAAGCCAGTTCTAGTGATTCTAGTGTGGCTAACTGGCTTCGGGGACAGGCGCCGTGTGCCTTCATTTGCTTCACATGCTGCGCACCGAGCGGCAGGAGACCATGCAATCTGAGCTACACAACGCGATGTTTCGAAGTTCATCAGCTCATGTCCTCCGAGTAGGAAGCCCGAAGCCCGAAACTCCTCGCCACGACAGGATCGCCTGCGTGAGCTCACGAGTATGGGTGGCGATGTTGTCTCAGTGATCATGGACAGCTCGTTCCTGAAGGCCGGGGGTTCAGGATTCAGGGTCACTTTACGGATGTTTGGGCATTATGGGTTCTAGGAGTGTCATTGGGCTATTGAATGTGGCAAGCGTCCTTGTGTTGCTTGCAGACGCTGCAGCGGACCCCTCTGTGTCTTTGGTCTTAGGTCGGAGCCGGGCGCTGGCCACTCTTCGCGTTGCTGCACTTGGCGCAGGTCGGATTGAGATGGCGCTTGGGGATGGGTCGAGTCATGGAATTGGCACCCGGGTGTTGTGAGGCTCAGCTGGAACTGGAAGAGGCTCGGGGGACACGTTGAAGAGAAGAACCTGCGCGGCGCACGGCGACTGACTTTGGGGCAGTCTCTGGGCCCATCTGGGCCTGACTCACCTCGACCATGTTTCATGCGGCTTTGCGACAGGGGCGCTCGGATGCGGTGTCGGGTGGAGACCCCAGAAGTTTGTGGAGCACCCTGCAGCAAATGGTGATATCAGTGACCGCAGATCTTTGGTGCTCTTGAACGGTTCTGGTTTGGGATGTTCCCCCCATAAACTAACAGTCCTTGACAGGGATTATCGGGCCCCCTAGTATCATCCCGATTAGCGACGGCCAGTATAAGGGTGAACATCCCAAGTTCTAGTGTTGGATTTGGCGGTGCCACTGCCTTGTGATCCAGAAAGGGGAAGCATGTCCAGGACGATGGCAGCCCCTCATCACGGATGACCATGTCCGCTTCCGGAACTGGGCGTTGAGCTTAGGGTTCAGGGTTCAGGGTTCAGGGTTTAGGGTTTAGGGTTTAGGGGTTAGGGTTTAGGGGTTTAGGGTAGCTCAAGAGTGAAGGGAGATTGAGAAGTAGGAGGCTTCGGCATGCGAGGAAGAGGGCAGAAGATGAGGTTCATGGTCACCTCGTGCATGGCCAAACGCCTCCTTTGGTGGCTCTGCCCTCAGCTTATATATACATCTATATATATATATATATGTACACACGATTATACGTATAAAAGTATAAATGCTATATAGATATTTGTATACACACTATAGATAGATAGATAGACAGATAGATAGCTGTATATATGTATATGCCCAGGTCATCCACGCTTTTTGTGGTTGCTAGCCAATTAGCTCGCTTGATGGGCCGCAGGCTTGAAAAGAAATGAAAGTGGAAAGCCATATTACGGTGTAATCGGGGGTTACTTGTGTTCGTTGAATTAAACCGGCTTCTACTTTTACAACTCAGATATTGGCTGCCCCAAGTTAAATTGCAACTAGGTAACATGTGCACGAGGTGCCGTGTTGTTTCGAAGGGTAGGAATGAACTTACAACTCGGGTTTTCGCACGGTTTCCATTCATGACAACCTGAGTTTTCTTCAGAAGAGCTTAACTACTCATTAGTTATTTGCATGTTTGCCGGTTTTCTAGCTTAGGTGCTTGTTTTTGGGGCTGTGGAACGTCTTCTTCCAGAAAGGTCAAAACATCCTTCTGCAGGATGCTGGATACAGAGGCGAAATCGCTGCAAGATGTAAGTAGCAGTGTTTTGGGCACCTTCGCAGACGGCATGAACACTTGTGACAGCGACTCGTGTTGCAGAACATGAAACATCCTTCTGCAACATGTTGCATACAGAGACCAAAATGCTGAAATTGCCAGTTCCTGGGCATGTTCGCAAATGGCCTGAACGCTTGTGACAGTGTCTTGTTCCAAAAGCGTCCAACATCCTTCTTTAGCATGTTGTCTAAAAAAGAAAGCTGTAAATGTCAGTGCCTGGGGCATGGTCAGAGTACGTAACATGCCTCCCCCCCCTCCATCCAGAAAACATCAGGAAGTCGCATCGCACGATGTTTCACGGCGCCTTGTGCATGTGCTACCAACTATTTGAGTTGGTCTGGGAACACAACTCGATGTCAACTATCATTATTGCTTGAAAGGCTCGACATATGGAAAGATCAGAAAGGAGAGCTCTGCGGTTTCCGTATTTAATGCTAAGTTGCCGGCAAATGTAGAATACGCAGCTTAGTCAGGAAAATTGACTTGCACTTATGTTATGTCATCGTTGGTGAAGTTATTTTGCTTTTTTAACTTGCATGAGCCGAGCTCGTGGATCTTGGAAACGTGAACCGCTACAACCGATCTGTGCCCTTTTGACATGTTGGGGTTAGGATAATAAGGGGCCCCTTAATATGGACCCCAAATAGTAGGATCCCCTTATAATAAGGAACCCAATAAGGTTCCCCGCAATATCGTAAACCCCCTATGTAAACCTCAGTGATCTTGGACCTCGGATCGTTCAAAACAGAGGCCGGTACAAGCCGGTACAAACCGGTACGTAGAAGTTGTACCGGCCCATGTTTCCAAGATTCAGCATCCCAGATTCCACAAATTCCAGCGATGTTTTCCAGAGAAATCTTGAAAACATGAGCCGAGCTTGTGTTTCCAAGATTCGTCCAGAACACCTCTTTGCAATCTTAGATCTTGGATGCTGGAAAGGTTACCCGGTACAAGTTGCACCGATCTGTACCGATTTGTGCCGGTCCATGTATCACCAAACATACAGAGAATATGAGAACATACGAATCATATGAAGCAAAACGCTGGAGAACAAAATGAAAGAACACAGGAACCAGCAAACAACAGAAAGAAGCAGAAATAAGCCAAAGAAACGTGGATGACTGGGCAGGGGCGCGAATCCGTATATATATATATATATATATGTATATGTATAGATGCATATATATATATATATCTATGTACGATACTACTATCTATGTATATACATATATTCTCTTTTGCCAAGCTCATCGACTGAGCAAAAATGCTCGTTTTCTAGACTCATTCGCATCGCTGGTTTGTATTAAGCTTGCGATTCCGAGGACTCCGTCCACTTCCTGGCGCGGGCAGACCCACGAGAGCCCTCGCAGCCCAGCGCCCTGTGCTCCGCGGCAAAGGCG